ACAAAACGTTTATGCGCCGCTATTCTGGAACTAACTTCCAGAAAACTGAAAAATTGCAGTTTTCCTGAAATCAAGGCCAACCACCACCACTCCTCCACCTGTTTAGAGTTACCTCTGAGTCATAGTAACTGGAATATTAAACAATATATTTGATGATTATTATGATAAAATTTGTAATGTGCAATGTTTATTGCTTGTTCCATAAACAGTTGGCATATCATGTTTTTAAGGAAAAAAGTGTTTTGTACTGCCTTGGTGCTAAAATGTGCTATACAAATAAACTAGAGTTAGCATGTAATGTGTTCAACTCGCAAACTAAAACTTGATTAAATCGCTTCTACTAAATGTTAGTTTAAAGTAGCTGGGTGTCCAATGCGTTTATGCGTCCTTGTGGGTTTTCCGTACAGTGATTTACCAAAATATTACAGATTTTTTGCATTTTCTATAGTAAAGCACACAAACTAAGTTTAAAAATCAGGATTTAATGTGGATTTTTACATAGACCAACCCAAAGTAGTGTGCAACCATGAAATGTTAGAAAAATGATACATGAAAAACAAAATTAGTATTCCTTTCATATTCCTCTACAGGCTATTCAAGTGTAAGAGTACGATACCTGTAAAGAGGAAATGGTTCAGGGGGTGTAAATACTTTTGGAAGCCACTGTAAAGCCCTTTCTCCACAGGCGTGGCTTTAGCCAGTTCTTCGCCGGTCAGCCGGCCAAATTCGTCTTCATTTGCAGATTCTGTGTGGGTTTCGGTCTGTTTTTTGGAACCACCTGCAGGTCGAGAATTACTGGATTTGATTGGCAGCAGTGTGATTCATTGATTGGCCCATGGAATCCGCAATGAGACTGTAGTAATTGCTAAAATGTAGATCGATAAGTCTTGTCCAAACTGGGGTTTTTTTGTTTTTTTCAATTTCGGCAGAAGAGCGTCCACTGGACAGGGAAACCCACAACGAGCAATATATCGATAGATTTCAGAGAAACTAAGTCACCCAGGGCAACACCGGCAACATGACATTATCAATATGTCGACCTCAACTCCTGCATTCACAACCTGCATTTCCATTGAGTATGAAATTGCGCAATTGGAATTACGAAAGGAAACACGGCAATTTAAAAAAAGTTTCACGTTTTTGTGCTGGGCTGAGGTGGGTTTTTCCAGCCGTATCAAATGTATCTTGCAAAACTGCATTGGAAATACTTTCTTTTTTTTTTTACAACACGAGTCAATAACTAGATGTTACTGCTGGTAAAAACAAAGAAGAAGAAAACAGGAAGTGGGGGAGGATGATGGCACAGTATGTTTTTTTTAACAATTTATTCACATGTGATTTTAACTGCGCAATTGTAATTGTAATTGTTAGGTTTTTTTTCCAACATTAGCAGTGTATTGACAAAGTTGTGCACATTTGTAATGAAAACACAGCTATGAATAGTGAGGAACACACAGTCAATAGAGACACAGTCAACTCGGCAAAAACCCAGCCAGGCATGAACAACGGAGCGGGGTCTTAAGAGGTCGGCACTTCCATACCTGGCACAGCGGACAGAGTCAGTGTGCTGGCTGAGGGAGTAGATGTAACACCGCCGTGGGACACTCCACACTATAACCGACTTGTCATCAGACGCAGTGGCCAGGCTGTGGCCATCATGGGAGAAAGACACACTGCGCACTGCGCCGGTGTGGCCTTTCAACACCGAGGGTTCTCCTTTTCTATCCCAAGCACAAAAACAGTTCAAGTAAAATCTGCTTTAAAGTCCAAATTGAGCATTCATGTACCAAGATTTTAGATTCCCCATTCTAAATGTGAGAAACAAACTGTGCAGATAAAATTGTCAGCTATCTGGCTTACAAGGAAAGTGTCCACAATCGAACCATTTTGTCTTTGGACGAAGAAGCCAGCAGACGCCCCGACGGGGAGAAGTGCAGCCCTGTGACGGTGTCCTGGTGCCCGGCAAAACGAAAGGCCTTGGACTTCGGGGCTAGGTTCCAGATCATCAGGGTCCTATCCACTGATCCTGTAGCTGGAGGAAGAACAACAGAAAATGTAATCAGGAAAATACCCGCACATATATACACAGCTTTGAAGAAAACAGTCAGCGTTATAAACTGGATATGTTCTGAGATTTCATGGAAAATTTACCCAAAACCTTTTTAAAGCTGGGGAATTTAACTATGCTTTAAAAATATAAGACAAAGCGGACAAAACAAATGAACCACAGACATCAGGTGACACTTTAGACCAGCAAACTGATAAAAGCAAATTTCATACTTTTCCAGAATATCCAGAACTTTGTGAGAAATATAGAAAAACTACAGATGACCAAACTAACTATGATCAGTTAAAGGGGCAGTACTAAGTATTTTTCAGGCTTATAGTGATACTTTGTAGCACAATCAAATAACTATGTTACATTTAATTATAAAAATACTATTTATATAAAATAAGGAGGTGAGTGGGGGAGTCTTTAATGTTTTGATGTTTTTTTAAAAACTTCTCATCATCGTTTCATTCCACACATGAAGATGCATTAAAGAATTTCAGATAGTGGTAAACCATGGACAGTTAGCTAAATAGAGCGGTAGTGTCCAGGCTATTTGCCATGGGGGATACAAGCTGAAAGTAAAAACTGAATTATAATACTCATTTGTAACATTGCAGGAACTATATTTTTTCTTTTCACCTTCTCAACAATAAACTAAAGATATTATACTTTAACAAAACAAAGCAGTCTGATTTCTGTAGAAAATGTGACTGTAATTTGTCAGAAAAATGAAAAGGGCTTTTCTCACTCTAACTTCATTTAGCCATGTTTAATAAATGGGGATGCCCAAGTCTGTTTGTGATCCTATTTGTTGTCAAATTACATTAAAAGGAAAAGTGTGATTGATAATAAGCCACTATCTACATTTTACATTTTAGGAATTTTTAAATTTATCAAGCTTATCTTTTTTGAAAAGTCTCCCATCCTTAAAACATTTTTGGGTCTCCAGGAGCCATCGGAGCTGCCAAATCAAATTTATGCCATTCTTGAACTGTGGTTGAGGGCCACACAAAGTCATTCCTAGGGACACAAATAAAATACTATAGAATATTAAAGTACTATTGAATAGTACTTGAATATAATTTCACTGGATTCATTGAACACCACACATCAACCAGGCTATCGATGGAAATAAAAAAAAGAAAAAAAGAATTGTATTTGAAAACAGTAAAGCATGTAATGGTTTGCAAGTCTATTAGTCCAAGCATTTACCCAGCTGGCTTTGGTTTGGATTGAAATCTGCACAGGTGACAACATCTTTATGTCCCCTGAAGTGTCTCTCAAGAGTCGGATCGTCCTGTGAAGAGAAAGCCCAGTGGCAGAAATATCAAATTCTGACTTTTTTCCTCCTTTCTTTATTAACATTTGCATTTCCCTGGCTCAGCATTGTACCGTTTTACTCAAAAGTGTACACACCAGTGTTCAAAATCAAGTTTCAGGGACTTAAAAAATTACAACATGAAATTGTATTTTGGCACAGATTTTTTTTTTTTTTTTGCATAAATCAACAGAAAAACAAACAAACAAAAAGCAGCAATAATCTGATTGAGTAACTAGTCACATATTTAAAGCAATATTGAGTCTAGACCTCCCAAAACACACATTTCCAAAATATATGTATGGCGCATCAGAAACACCAAAGTGCAAACACCCTGCCCTCACTGAAGCATGGCGGTGGTGGCATCATACTCTGTGATTGACATTCTTAACATTAAAGTATTCTGTTCTAAGTGTAGATAGGAAATCTGTAAGAGACGGTGTTATTCATAGAATATCTGCAGCTCATAGTTAAACCACCAGGCCAAATATAAACCAATTATAGTTTGCTTTACTTCCCACCAGCGCTGTTCAGCCTTCTTGTGTTGACACTATTTTAATTCAAAACACGGTGTTTGTTTCTATTTGAATACACAGTGCAGGCTTTCATATCGGTCACATTAAAGTGATTATCATGCATGAGAAAGTAATGGCGGAGTTCCGTGAACTTAGAAAGATGTTTCTGACAACTCCTTTCTGGAAATCGTCTTAGCGCCGACAGAGCTAGCAACTGTCCTGCCCGCCACCGGCGAGAGTTCTGCGTGTCTGCGCTAACTGCTCTCGAACCTGACAGAAAGGCACCCAAACCGGGCCACTCACCATAACAGATCCCATTTTAGACAGTACCAGAGCGAACTGACGTTATCTGGTGATTTGAACAGACCCGCTGCGCCGCTCCTCCATGACTGTCAACGCAGCGCCCGCAATGACCGCGTCAGACCTGACGGGTCGAGCCCAGAGAAGGAACAACGTGATGCTTTTAAAGCGACTCAAGGAATCTCCGCACTGATCAATTTCGAATGGAAAGAATTTTTATTTGTTACAGAATTCTCGTTTTGCCTCTCAAATCATAGCTTTAAACCCAAAGTAAGTGCCTGACACCGGGCAGCTTTATGTCGAGTTAGTTGAAAAGGTTCGTTCGCAGTATTTATTTGGAAGTGGGAAATTTCCGTGCCAGTGCAAAACATTTAATTGCACAAAACTGAAGTCATTAGTTTTCATTAAAACTACAATGACAGTTCTTGTATTATCACTTAATTGTGGTAATATTTCAATGCTGTCTATTAGGTTCTTTCAATGAAAAAAAACAAAAACAATTTCAATTCAAATATGTTTTATTAATTTTAAATGGAAATTAAATGTCGTTCCAACTCATTTAGATTCTTCAAGTAGTTATTGAAGATCGAAAGACATATAAAGGTATATCAAAAGATGTATTTAATTTTTTTCTGGTGATTTAATTGGAATACACCCACCTGTATTAAACAAGCTTTAAACAAAATATACAATCAAAAATGAGTTTTCTGCAGAAAACATATGGACCTTACAGACCGAGGGGACCTGAATGCCGCACGTCATAAAGGTAGAGCGTCTTTCGCTGCTTAGCAACTGGCCAGACTGCTCCGAGGAGAAAGCGATGCTGTGATTGGCTTCTGGAAGACTTGTAGCGAATCAACGTTGGCTTTACTGAGGGTGGAAGCTGCTGTTTCGCATTTCGATTTGAAAATATGTCGCTGACTCGGGGCATCGGCAAAAACGAGGTAAAGTCAGAAAATACGAGGTTTGTTTTTTTATTAAACAGACTAGCGTAGACCTCTCAGTTAAATCTCTCTCCCACACTGCAAATATAGCGGCGAACTGAAAAAAATATAACCTAGCGAAGCAAGCATGCTAACAAGTTAGCTAGGTTATGTTTCCATATCAACGGTAGCCCACCGTTAGCTTGATCATATTCAATAGGCAGCTGGGTGTCCCCCAAAAATGCTCCGATTTCATGTTTCGTAGCTGATACAAAGCATTTAACAGCTCGATTCTCTCCTTTCCACAGTACATGCAGAAAAGGATACCCAGAAATGAAAAGTATGCCCATATCAAAACCAGGCTGGACACAGGTATGTTTACCATTTCAGATGCAGAATGACATGTTGTGGTAAAAAATAAAATTCGCTGAAACATTTAGTATAATGACAACATAAAAATGTATTTATAGTGCACTTTGAATTATTGTACTCCAACTTTAACACAGCATATCCGTATTATTTTTATTTGTAAACACAACAAACAACAATAAATCGGCAGTGCGGCAATTTTTGAATTTTTCTTGTCTTTATGGTTTGCAAATATTCAAATTTGCAAACCACAAAGACATAATTCCAAGTCATTCAAATTTGAAATAATTTCCAACAGAAACGCATCATCATTGCATAATTATCGCCATAATTATGTAATGATGCTGAATCTTATAATTATGACTTTTTATCCCATAGTTATGACTTTCTGTCTCAAATGTATTTTATATCATTTTGTTTTGGAATTTCATAATTATTTCTTCTTCAAAATTATGGCTTTGTATAAAATATTTAAGACATTGAATGTTGATTGTGACTTTTTAGTCTTGCAATTATTACTTTCTGCTGGACTTATATTTTCTTTCATGGCTGAAATGACCTTCCATATACAACCCTAGAATAGAAAGAGAGGCTTCTTTCTAAGGCAACTGCATTTTTGTTGCTCCTCCTCTCAGAAACATTGATTTTTTTTTTTCCTTCGTTCTCTGCTGTCATCTGTAGGATCGAGCAAAACAAAGTACATGGAAAGACTGGAGGAGCTGAGAAAAAGTAAGAAATCACATCCAAGAACATGACTTTTTTTTGTTTCTTTTTTATGTTTACTTTAAAGTTGAGTTATTAAAGCTTTATAATTTATGAGACTAACATTTCTTTTTTATGTTTCTTTGTCCTCTGCTATTTAAGACTACAGGTATCGAAAAGGCGAAATCTTCAAGAGATTAAAGGTGACGACCTTTGCTCAGCTGGTGAGGATCAATGCAGCAACAGCTGAGGCAGTTTTTTTTTCTTATTTAGGTGATAGAATGAAAACATAATTATTAATTGTTTATTTTTGGACATTAATAATTTATCAGATCAGTTGATTGATGATCTGCAGACTGATGGCTGTTTATTATCGTTTCCTCATAGGGTATGATCTAATTTATCTGTGTGTGTATGTGTGTTTTCCACCTAGGTACTTCAGGTGGCTTCTGTTTCAGATGGGGATCAAAGCGAGGTCAATGATGAATCAATCAACACCCAACAAGGTAACACTTTAGGCTACTATTATCCATAAGAGCATTAGCAAATTTCAGTAAATTTGAAAACATGATGAAGTACAGTTATAGTTTAGTGCTATATTTTAACTAAAAAGTCTTCTGAAGAAGCCTGTTTCAAATGGAAATATTTTTCTGGAACAGTTCTTGTTTGTGGTGCTGTGAAGGCTTTCCCTTGCAGTCACAGCCCCCTAAAAAATAAGTAGTAAATTGCCTTTGAAACCTAATTTTTATTATCACAATAGTACCAAAAGATAGATTATTAGTCCAGATCGGCCACCCCTAAGTTAGCGCCATGATGTCTCAACTGCCTTGCAGACGGTCTGTCAGTCATCTCTGAGGCAGACCTGGAGTGTGAGTCTGAGCGGGTCAACGGCTTGTCGCTAGAGCTGCCTCTGTCGCAACAACACAACGCAGGAGACCGCAGGGATGGCTGCCACACCGCCAGGTCAACGCTCCTCAGGTAATGAGCAGTCTATAGGGATGCTGCGAACTTTACCGAACCCTACTGTGATTGGTCGAGCCACAGCAGACCCATAGGTTAGCACTGTACCATCGCTAATAGAGGATGCTCAAATACCGCTCAGTATGTGTTGTTCTTTAGAGTCTGCATACTGCAGTTAGAGAATAATCGATTACTAAATGAGTTGGCTCTTTTTTAAAATACTCAGTTAATTACAATGAATCGTTTCAGCTCTAGACAGCTCTCTATACACTTAACATTGTTAATTGTTAATAGACTTTTCACCACTGCAGCCAGTGAATTGATGAGCAGGTGTGAAGTTGTTGGTTTGATGTTATAAATTTATGTAAAATTGACCTTTTTTGCTTTTCATCATGTTATAAAATGATGAAAATCAAAAATGTAACTGGAGTCTTGCCCTGATTCTTTTATGCATGTTTAGAAATCCTTTTGTCTCCCGTGGCAACCATTCAGCTGTGCAAAACAGCTGAATGGGCATAGCTCCACCTTTGACAACGAAGCTCCTCCTCCGAGCTGGAATTTTCCAACCTTCTTCCTCACAGAGCAGCTCTGCCCTGCTGCTCCCCCATTCAATTCCTTAAGACTAGCCAGCAGCAATTAGCAAATACTTGGTGGAATTGTGCATCTAGTGACCTCATTATAGGAGTTACTTCTCAGTGAAATGATGATAAAACCTTTGTGAAAGGGTTGATACAGGAGCCATATTGTAATGACTTCCTGAGGATGGAGTTTTGGAGTTTCAGAAAAAGCAGCAGTTTTTAAAGTGACATTTTCAAGGTGGTAAATGACAAATTAATTTTATGTAATATTTGACATATGCACCATTTTATAACAACTGAAGGTAACATAGTTATGTTATTGAGATATAAAATTATGCCATGTGGCTGGAACATGCATAATAATTAATGCCTCTTTAATAAACATATCTTTTAGGTGTGGCTACATTTTGGAAAAGATGATCAAAAGTCCTACCAGTATCATGTCTGAAAAGTGGGCAAACATTGTCATAAAACCCAAATATTCAGTGTCACACAGCCTCCCCTGTGTGATTGAGGTTGACCCTAACATGTCAACCTCAGGTTAAGCCACCATATGTCTGTAGCTTTAGTGCAGCTCTCTTTCTAACAACAGAATTCCCCAGTGGACAGACATAAACCTTTCTCAAAAGCTTCCTCACCTGTATCTCCACCCTATTCACCTAGAAACTGTGTCCCAGGAGAGTAACTGTATCTGACACCTGAGAGGGTGACAGACGGGGCCATTGTAATGATAGAACTGCTCGGTCAGCGTCAGCTTGCAGGGAGAACAGATGGAGACAGGAAGTAGAGCCATTAAGGGGTAAACATGCATAAAGGGGAGGCTGGGTGACCTTCTGCTTCATCCTATGACTTATTTCTACAGCAAAGTTTAAAAGGTGCAATAAAACCTGCATGCACTCTTTAAACAGTGCCCTCTGCTGGCTAGAATTTAGAAGAAGTGGAAGGAAAATATAGCTGAATTTCTGTCACATAACCTGGAAAGTACCTGACAGACATTTCTATCTTGGTATATGTCTGGGCCGTTTTGACACAGCACAGACATTCTCTGGTCTGAACCTGAAAAGCCTGAAAAGCTTTTGCCTGGGTTGTTTCCTCTCAGCGTTATCAGCGGCGTTGGAGAGCTGAACGTGGAAAGGCCCCGTCAGAGGACGGCAGAGTCCGTGTCCAGCCTCTCCTATGTCGACACGCCCTACCCGGACTGCCCCTACCTGCTGCTGGACGTACGCGACCGCGACCAGTACGACCACTGCCACATCATCAGTGGTGGGTGGTGGACACTTCCTCTCTGTTCAATAAAACATTTTCTATTTCTGATCCTCTGCTTTTCCTGCAGCTCACAGTTTTCCCATCGCCACGCTGTCTCGAACTATGAATCCCTACACCAAGGAAGTGCTGGAATATGTATCCTAAAAAAAACAGGCATGCATATTTATTTTTTATTTTCTTCTCTATGTTACGATGTATTTCCATTTGACACCTTAACAATTTGTAGAAAAATGCTCTGGGGAAAATCATCATCGTCTACGATGATGATGAGAGAATAGCCAGCCTGGCGGCTACCACCATGTGTGAGCGGGGCTTCGAAAATCTCTTCATGCTGTGTGGGGGTAAGAGCTGGCCATCTTTTTATCTTTCACAAAACCAACTGAGTCTCAGAATCACTAGTACACTGCAAAATCTTACCAAGTATTTGTGGTCTAGTTTCATGTGCAAATGTCCTACCATATTGGAGATATGACGAAGCTAACTTACAAGTAACTTTTCAGCAAGATGTAGGAGCTTGTTTGAACTCAACAATTCTGTAATATTGATGAAAAAGTTCCAGTTCTACTGGCAGATCATTTCACTAATAATATGGAGATAAAAGTCTTGTTATAAGTGGAATAGTCTAGCAGTGGAACTAGAACTTTCCAAGTTACAAAAGCAACTTTTGAATCAGTTTCAGTAATGATGGCTCTCTTTGCTGGGAGTTTGTCAGATGGCTACGCCTTGCACACATTTCTTCATAAGGACTTTGATTTCCATTCATTTTTCATTTATTTCTATAGCCTCGCCCTAAGCCTAAACTCACCTTACTCCAAAACTTAACTGCTTACCCCGAAATACCAATTGTTCCGTCCCACAGGGAGCTGGTGAGCCCCACAACATGGTAAGAGTTTGGAAAATAGCCCTTACAATGTATCAAATGCAAAAACACACACACACTTTTCTTTTCTCTCTCACATCCTTAGCAGTTTTTCAAGTAATTATTTTTTCTACCTGCATGTCTAATTACACATTAAATGGCAAACATTCTGTAATCTTGTTTACACGTTTGTCACTGAACAGTGAGTTTGTAAAAGCATCTTTTCAGAAAATGATGGTGCAGTTTTCCCAACTAAACAGATGCAGATTTAGTCTCTTAGTAAATAAAAGTTTTTTCTGAAGACTTAGTACAGACATGTGTTGGCTGTTCATGTGAGATCCTGCTGTCAGTGTCAGGCTGCCTGACACTAGTGTGTTAGACCTAAATATGACTAATTACCAAGCAAAAAAAATTATTAAGTTATGTCTGCATCATCTCTTATGTGATAAAACACAATGTTCTTTAGCTTGACTGTGCTTAATATGACCAATAACCAGTTCCTATTTTCATAAACATGCAGCATTTAAGTGATTCATGAGCGGGCATTTCCTTAAAGTTTTTTTTGTTTTTTTATTACCTTTCTCAGATTGCACCTTTTTCATCTAACTATTGGATTCCCCCAATCCTAAACCAATATTTTAGTTGAGCAATCTTCATGTCCAAGGATCAATGCTTTTCTCTTTCCTCTTCTCCAAGGTCTCAAGGTAATCGCCCAGAAGTTTCCAAGCGGAATGACAACCGGCTCCTTTCCAGAGTCGTGCTTGTCCGCTTCCAAATCCTCCAAGGCGAGGAAATCATCTGTGCTCCGGCAATCAGCGCAGGAGGTCGAGAAACGCTGGAGGTTTACGTTGGATGAGCTGGAAAAGATCCAGGAGCAGATGGAGGAGTTGATCATCTCCAATTACTCAACCAGTAAGACTGAAACCAGTCAGAAACTAAAAAAGAAATATAATAAAGAAACTTAAGGTAAAATTAGAAATGTGAGGGTTAGCGGAAAGCATTCAGAAAGACTTACTTAAGGTCTCCAGTATAGAAATAATTTCTAATGCAGAGTTTCAGTTTATTGTAAGTTTTTGAGCCACTAATTAAGTGTGCACCCATTCCGATTTTTTTTTCTTCTTTTTGGCTAAAATGTTGATAAATGCAGTCTTTGCATATTGTCGCCTTCCTAAAACAAATGGTCTAAGTCATTTTTGCCAAAAGTGTATGTTCTGTTTTGGGTTTTTTTTGTTTTTGTTTTTTTTTTTTTTGCCGAAATCGCTTTAGGCACAAAATGACTTGAGCCATTATTTCAAGATGGTGATTATGTGAAGATAAAATCAGGGTAAAAGATCAGTTTCTCGTGTAAGCATCAACCTATCTCCTAAAATTACATAAATTAGGACCAATTTCTTGTCCAACTGATTTATTGATGCATCCCTTTTTATCAATAAATAGATATTGATAAATTAACTTAGCATTTATTTGTTCATTAAAAAGCTTTGTCTGCTGTAAAAGTTTTGAAGCAAACTCTATAAAATTCAGATTAAAGGTCAAATTTGTAGGGCATAAAACAGCTTTTTGCGTTAAGGAACTTCAATTTATGTTTTTTTTGTTGTTGTTTTTTTTGCGTCATGCAGGTCAGCTGTCCAGTCGCACGATATCCAGCAGCGGCCGGTCCACGGCCTCCAGCCATCAGAGTTCCTCCGCAGCAGAGAAAAAGAGCTCCAGAGTTCAGAACAGCAGACCCTGGAAATGACCCTCCACCTCTCTGCCCCGCCTCTCATCCTCAAACAACAAGCATACCTCCATCAGAAAGCCTCCTCAAGATTTGTGTTGCTGCTTCTGGCTGCAGTGAGCAAACCACTTCCAAGAGGCTCCATTGGCTTCCAATGTTGCTGCTTTGTTTTTTTCATCACTGCTGCTCATTTTATCCACAAATAAATGAGCTCTTTTGCAATTTTGGAACAAACCATCCCAACCACAACTGATAAGGTAGAGTACTCGTATATAGTTTTAAAAATGAAATTTGCTGTCAACATATAGCCAAAATGTTCCTTGATGACTTTAACCTGTTTAAATTACTATTCTGTATTTAATTATTTTATCTTTTGCATTGTGCCTCATCTGTGAAAAAGGCCTGTTTGCACTCTGATTCTAATCAGTTTTTTTTTTGTTCAGCTATGGCTTTTCTAAAACAGTTTCACTAACGAATGCTGATGGGAATCAGGAAAATGCTGTGAATTACTGTATCATATGAGGCGAATATATGTTTTAATAGAGCCTGACTTGGTTGCTTAGAAACGTTTAGTTGTTCTTTTAGTGGTTCATTGCAGACTTCCATCAACATACACCACTAGCCGTGATGTGCAATAGCTGCAGCTGTTTTTGTGGTTGGAGTAACACTGAGAATCAGGATGACAAAAGGTTTTTTCTGTCATCCAGTATTCATTGTCTGGGGCCTTTGTGCGTTTGTTCACTTTAGTCTTTAGTTCTGTTCTCTGTAAATACTTTCACATTCATTCTTTGCAGAGTGCATTTTATTAAAAATCTGAATTTCTTCCAGCCTTTGTTGCAACAAGTTTTGTTTAACTTAAATGAAGTGGGTGCATAATTTTATTCATGAATAATGAATTAAAATTTTTTTTTCCTGGAACGTAATTGTTTCATTGCATAATAAACACATTGTGAAAAAAAAAATCTTTAAGACTGTTATTTCATCAGAGGGTAAACTATTTGCTTTGACATTGACATAACACCTTATAAGTCTGAATTAGTGACATTCATCAAAAGGTAATACTTTACAATTTACATTTATTTATGAGACTTATTTATTTATTTATTTAATTTTCAAATGTTTCGGCCAGGTGGGTTTGGAGGTGGATGTAGAGTTCTGCCGAGTCCTAATGAAAAATAAAAATATGAAAATTATTTTATCTAAACTACAATTTGTAGAATAGATACATTTTAATACATTCATTGACTTTGTATGGTGTCATCTCCATCTAAAGACGCTGTTTAGTGTTTGAGTCTATTTCTATTCCTATTTACCGCCACTGGATGTTATTTTAGTTACATCCACCAGAGGGCAGTAAGGCTCCCTTAGACGATACCAGTACACTGGATGGAGCTGTGGGGGAGAGCAGAAGGCAGGCTGAGTGAGAGAACTAAACACATCAAATAACCTAAATAAATAAGCAACAACTAAGAAAAGAATGATCAACCGTAAAAGATGGAACAGCAGCTGAGGCTGATCACAGTGGAAAGCAGCCTGGTATGTTGACAAACTGAATTACATTGAATTGAATTCAATCAGAGTTGGCCTGGTTTTAGATTAAATAAATTGTATAATTTTGTTTGTTCCTTTGTTTTTGTAACAAAAGTACTGACTGGATTCCAAAAAACAAAACAAAAATGGCAGCAATATTTATCACATTAACGCTTGATCAGAGATTAAAAATCGTGAAGTTATACCAATGGATTGTATAACTTCATGATTAGTAGTTCCTTATCACACATTTTTTTTCAATCTGGCTTCTTTCATTATGTTTTCACAGCTGCGCACAGGGCCGCATAATAGTCTCTGTTTTGAAGACTCACTGAGTAAATTGTATGGCTGTATGACTGGGGAAATTAGGAGAGTAAAAAGCCTACATACTCAAAATGGGGATCCTGTGGTACCTATGGTGATGTAAATGTATTTTCCATGAAAAAAAATACTTTATGTATTTAAATATTTTGATAGAAGTCATTTTTTGCATATGAGATGTTTTGTCATCAAAATAAATGTTGTCTTTCGCAGCCTGAAGCCAACAGCTGCTGCCTGAACCCGTCCTAATTAGAAAATGTTTTGTCAAACTGCAAAACAAGGGACTGGGAAATCTGATACTGGGAATGCATGACTGAGAGCCTCACTGATAACAGCAGAGGACAAGTGAATGATGATCCAAAGCAAACAGCAACCCTTAGTAATGATATAAAAAAGGAACAACGGCACATCAAACACATTTAAATGTTTTCTTAAAAATTTTTTGCTTATTTTTTTTAAGCACACCGACTGACTGCTGTAAGCAGTTTCATTCGAGTTACAACAGACCGAAAAAGGTAAAGATCTTGGCTGGCACATTTCAATTCCCAAAACTGTAATCATGGAACGTCTAACTATGCTATGTTTACAATGAGCATAGAAACTGAGAAGATTTTTGTATAGAAACTCTCACGGTCCGGCTGTAAAATGTTTTTTCACTTAAGAGAAAAAAGAAAACCAGTCATCATCATGTAATATTTGCTTGGTGGTGCTTAAATTACATCAGACTTTATCAGTAGGCAGATTTGAAAAGTCTTAATGGACAAGTGGATCAATCTTGCTGACTGGGGAAAATCTGCACTCTTTAGGCTGGTTATAATGATTCATGAGACTCAGGACAACCTTTGACACCAGGACTGTTTGCTATGTATGCTTTGTGTCTGCAAGCAGCAGGCGAGAGGTAATTCATTATACCAATGGTGTGATGTCTTTTGGGATCACATGGAAATTGCTGCTGCAGAGAGGAAGTTTGCTCACAGGTAAGATTTCTGTGGTAGCCCATAACATTTTGAATTTGTAAATGTTTATTGTAGTTTAAGCCTTATAAGTCACCGGAATGTCTAGAAATAATACAATGTCAGACGTTTGCTAAAGTGCTGTTAATAAGTATTGAAAATGAGCATGCATTGAACTCCTGTTTGATTTTTGTCTGAGGTTGCATTTTCATCGAACTCTGCTTCTTTTTCAATGTTAATGTCTAAACTGTTTCAATTATCTGTCGCTAACAACAGCTTTGATTTAAAGTTTCTTTTAAATCAAAGCTCAAACTCCATTTGTTCAGAGTTTCCCTTGATTAATTAGAACTGATGACCATATTTGATCAAATGTAATATTTGTTTCTTCATTCATAATGGCTTATTACATTTTTAATCATGTAAAGCACCTTGAACCACCTTGCTGCTGAAATGCACTTCACAAATACATGAGACTTCATGTACCAATAGATTGAAGAAGAACTAACCTGGTTTCCATCAGAACATGGCAGCAGCACAGTCCAGCCCTCTGACCCCTTACATGGTGAACACAAGTGATGGAGTCCCTGGCGCCAAGATCGCCCTGAGCTTGCATCGACTTGACACCAACCTGATGATCTGGACTATGATCGGTGTTGGGTAGGATTTTATTGTGTTTATCTCTCTTTGAAAATGAATTTAATTCATTTTTTGTTACTCCATTTGATTCAGTTGTTTTCTTTGAACTACATTCGGTGTTGGAAATGTCATATTGATTTTATTTGAGATTTCCATCTCATCTTTCAGAACAACAAATGAAGATGGCTGCTGTCAGTCAGGAAGCTTTCATCCCTGGCATGTACAAGCTGCATTTTGAGACTGGTTTATATTGGGAGCGACTGGGAAAGACGTCATTCTACCCCTGTGTGGAGGTGAGTTCCAATGAGATTCATATTACTCACTTGTAATTCAGAATAAACTTGGAACCAGACATTTCTCAGCAAAAAATAAATAAATGAAAAAAATGGTGGTGAGGATTGATACGACTGGTTGAAGCAGAAAGTGATGATTTTAACAAACAAGAAAACAGAAAGCCAGGGAAACTAAAATACACTGGAACAGATTCTAGACAATGAGATTAATGACCAGGATCTGGGAGGAAGCAGGGGACACAGGTGAGATTAAATACACAGGAAGGAAAACAAGGAAACAAGAGACAGCTGGAATCAATCAGGGAAGGAAGACAACCCAGGGACCAAAATCTACATCCTCACACTTTTGGTCCGGTGCCACTTTGCTGACACCAAAATTCTGCTACAGAGCTATGGATTAAGACCTTATGGCAAAATAATATCAAATACACAACGTAACCTTCCTGAAAGCATCTCTTCATCCACTGAGAAAACAGCAATAAACATGATGTCTTAAAAAGGATAGCAATGAAATTCAAGTTTACAATGATGAAGAAAATGCTGTTTAAAAAAGAAAAAGAAAAAAACTGTGTAAGTAGAATTTCTCCAAGTCTGTAAAACGGCTTTAAACTAAAAAAATAAAAATCTAATTTCAGTCTAGATTTTTTTTAAATCAGCAGATTTTTTTATTTCAGGGAGTTGATTCCAGAGCACAGCAGTATTGAAACTCAATGTTGCATTCTGTTGTTTTGCTCTGAGCCTGACAGCATTGAGTTGATGGCTTATTGACTCAATGCTGAGGGTTTCAGGGTTTACTCTAAAATTCATCAAGGCACCTTTTCCCTTCACAAACAGGACAACCATGTTCAGAAGTTGGTCTGGTAGCAGCATTTTGGATGAGCTGCCATGGTATAAATGTTGTATTTTTATATTTTATGGGAAAGTAAGTATTCAACTCCCTGCATACAGGATAAATTGGCACAAGCAAGAGAATGACACGCTGGTCATCCTTGGAGCTGCAGTCCAGCTTCAGCCTCACAGAGCAGCCCTCCTCCATGCTTTACATACTCAGCTCCTTCAGACTAGCAACAGCAGCAATTAGCAAACACCAGGACATCTGAGCTCCTGCAGACAGCATAATAGACAAACATTGTTGTGATGTTGTGCTGAAGGCAGTCATCACAGTGATGGAAGCTTCTTAAAGAGACAGCGCATCTTTATAACAGCCGAAGGTAGAGTTACATGACTGTGATATAAAATGGCACAATGTGACTGGGAAACAAATACGACCCTTAAAGAACTAGGTCAATATGAGGTTTGTTTGTATGGAGCTGACTAAATGGTCTTATAATTCATCGTTTGTTCCTCTACTTTGTGCTTCTGTTTTTTTCCAGACTGTGTTCACCATCCAGAACCCAGCACAGAAGTTTAATCTCCCTCTGCTGCTGAGCCCCTTCTCCTACAGCACCCACAGAGGGAACTGAAGCTCTGACGTGGTAGACGGCCTAAACTGCTGTCACATTTGCATTTTAGCGATATTGTGTCTTGCTACATTTAGGTTTTTCTGGCCCCTGATCCCTTCACCTCTTGGTTCTTGTTGTTTGGTTTGGCACAGAATACAGTGTGCACAGTTATGAATCAACTGTGTAACAGATTATGCTTTAGCTTCGTTTACTAAAAGAGAAGAGCTGCAGGATCTGAGGGCATCTGCATTGGAGAATTTAAAATCCCAGAGGGACCTTCTGCAACTGTTTCCTAAAGACGACAGACGTGAGATACAGCTGAGACAACAAATGAAGTCCATTTAAGGCTTGCAGCATGCAGGACCCAGGTGTTGCTGCAACATGTATGGAGGCCATGTGTTCTTTTCTTTCTATTTTATTTCCAACCTGTATGGTAATTATGCTGGTCTTCTCATAGAAACAAGCATAAAGTTACAATTCAGAAGTAGCTGTAACTCTCTTTTTGAATAAATTCTGTCTTTCGTGTTTTGATTGATTTATTTATTTTATTAGAAAATTATCGATTTTGGTAGTTTTTGCTCGGTGGGGGGGCTGGTGTTTATCTCCAGCAGAGACAAACAACCACACACACACATTCAGTTTAGAGAGGCCAATCAACACATAGCAGAGGGCTCCGAGTTCCAAGACAAACACTCTTGCGTCAAAAAGGACGGAGTTGCACCTCATGTGTCCAAAACCTGCATACACTGCCCTCTAGTGGAGAACAGCAGCTTCTGAGCTCCGGTGCTCCCTCTGGTGGAGACCTAAGGTAAGGCGGGGAAACGCCAGCACCACATAGACACAACCTTCCAGACTCCACACACTGCCTCGCCTGGCCCTACATGCTCAGTATGAGGGATTGCTGTGGCAGTTTGGGAATGTGTATAAACCGACACTTTTGATTGCTATTATAAATACTTTATTGATTTTGTGTTTGCATCCTGTCCAATTTTCTTATGTTGAGAATGTTTTTGTATCTATTTTTAGAGCTATTTGTTTGGACTGACATTTGTTCTGTTTCTTATTTTTAAGAAGTTATTTGATATATTTTTGCTGAATTATTACGTTGTGAAATGCGTATTCTGTTTTCCTCTATTTGGTTTGGTGGTTTGTAACTCCACCAGTCGTGTTATTTCCTTTCCAGTTGCAGAGGGCCGGTGGTGCCGGTGGTGGTGCCGGTGGTGGTGCCGGTGGTGGTGCCGGTGGTGGTGCCGGTGGTGGTGCTGGTGGTTTCATGGCGGCGGCGTCCTCCTCTGCTTGCTGAGCTTCCTGAGTTCTGCATTGTTTCACCAATCACTTTGTTTTGCTAAGTTAACCTCAGCTCCTGATTAAAGTTTTTTTTTCCTCACTCTTTATTAGTAGTTATGCTTTCAGGTACATATTTTACATATGATAAATTATTCATAAACTTTAAATTCCATCTCAGATGTCCTAAATATACAACCTGAGTACCTTAAAGGGGTAACATCCTCTGGGTGAAATTTCTAGGACGCTGTTGTTGAGCTGCTTATTTTTGGGACGTGTTGAATATACGCCCCAAGAATGAGAATAGGATTCAAGAGCCCAACCTTATGGCGCTACACTGCGAAGGCAGCAACAACACAATGCAAGTGACTGTTCACTGTCACTGCACGCGCATTAAGGAAGAGGGAATCCTCCAATCTGCTGGGTTTTGTTTTAAGGGCAAGTAGCAGGTCAAATACTTGCCCTTAAAGTAAGTTCACGTCATGATATAATGTCATTTTCTCATCATAAACATGCCTGGAATAGTATCTTGACTCTTTCAGGCATGAAATCCTTTCATCTCCATGGCAACCATTGAGCTGCACAAAAGGCCTGGATAGGCCAAGCCCCGCCTCCCAGGCACAGTTCCTCCTCAGTGTCAGGAAGAGCAGGACTTTCAAAAAGACATTAAATCACACAGTAAAGTTTCTTTGAAGTCATATTTTCTATAGATGGCATTTTTTTAACAACTGAAGTTCTCAAGGTTAATTGATTTTACTGTGAAATGGCACAATCTGCTAGGAAAACCACAGTTAATTTGAATTTGTGTGTAGAACTTTTTATTTGTTGTTTCAAATCAATATTTGGTCAGAATAAACTGGATCTAGTCTCTGATGTTTTTAACCTTACCGGACTCGTTAACATCCATCCATTGATGTTACATTCATGAGCCGAGAAGCGTTTTCCTGCCTTCTGCTCTGTGTTTGGGAGGTTTGGTGAGGGTTTCGGTCTGTGCCATCCCTGTGTGTGTTCCTAACAGCCACACACCTTTAACTGTGTGTGCTGCACTGCTTCACGTCTGCATCTTGAGCTGGCCTGCATGCTGGATTCTGTGTGATGTGGTAGATCCTGACCTCTTGCTTTGGTGCTCTGGCTGAAGAGAGCCCTGAAAAGTAAATCTTTCTCAAGCCATTTCCAAGATTTCTCAGTAGCAGCCCCTTTTTGTTTGTGTAAAGGATATGTTGATCTACTCTTTTATGACTTTGGCACAAATGTACAATTTGGGGTGAGGGTGTTGGGTGGAGTGTTGACTGAGGGGTAGTAACTTCTGCCTGAACATTCAATCTCTACTCTGTCATTAGAAGCCCATTATATACTCGACTGCTGGGCAGCAGGTTCAGGATTTGAAAATTAAAGTGAAGTTTTATAGCTGCAGTGATGACATTAGTAGTGCAGGAAAGTGAAACTGAAATAGTCAGCTTTGGAACTGCTTTGTTTGGTGAGTGATGATTAAAAGGCATCAGAGTTTCAGTTGATTTTTCCTTCTAATTTAGGCGTCTAATTGAGGGGACAATGATGAATCTAAAAAAGCAGCCAAGCATGTTCCAGATGTGGGCGCCTCAGTCCTCTTCATTCTCCTCCCAGCCAGGAAGATTTGGACAGTGAGGCGGGTGGAGGCGGGTGGAGGCGGGTGGAGGCGGAGGAGGTGCTGACAGTCCAGGGAGGAAAAATTTGGCATCATCACTTGAGCAAAGTTTGGCAGTTTGGGAGAAGCCCTGCAGGAGCCGGACGCACAGAGCTGATCTGCAAATCACTGAGTTCACCTGGACGCGGTTCATGAGTGATGATGGAGTTTGTGTTGAGTATGAAGGTCGTTCATGTCATGGTTCTAATGATGAGTCTTCATCACTTCGGGCTGGTTCCCGCTCAGGTGAGTACAGAAGACTTCCAAACAGGCGATTGCTTCTTTGACTTCTCATTTAATCTCTTCAGAGTTCTTCCTTCAGCTGCCCTGTTGGACGCTGACTCTTTTTGTTAGAATTATTTCATTGTTTCTTAGACGCAGATCAAAGTCAAACTGGTTTGAATTGCAGCCAAATTGATTGATGACAGATTATCTGCAAATAACTCAGTCAGCTTCTTCCCTGCTCTGTAAACTTCATTTGAAGCTCAGCTGTAAAATGTCACAATCTGTTATTATTCAATAATGGATTATTATCCATGATTATTATCTTGAGGATCAGTGGGAAGAGTAGTTGTGTTGTAAACTGGAAGTTGCTGGTTTGAGTCCAGTCCTGTTCACATTTGGATGAGCCCCTGAGCAAAACACTAAGTGTATGTGAATGGAATTGTGTGTGAAGAACGACTAGAAAAGTTATACATGACTCATTCAGTGAAGCTACCATGAGATCAGACTGTTCATTTACAAGGACATGAGTGAAGTATGTTCATATGAATAATTGTTACATTTCCATTGTAAAAAGTACATCTTCAAGCAGCAGGGGGTCGTCTGCATTTAGAGCAGCCCGCCATGCACAGCTCAGCTGCTCTGTGCTTCATGTCCTGTCACAAAACCAGCAGAGAAGAATCCCAGCAGACTTCAGAGCCAGAAGTTCATATCTGCAGGGTTTCAGGGCTGCAGGGTTTTATAGCTGCAGGGTTTTATAGCTGCAGGGTTTTATAGCTGCAGGGTTTTATAGCTGCAGGGTTTTATAGCTGCAGGGTTTCAGGGCTGTAGTGTTTCAGGGTTGCAGGGTTTCAGGGCTGTAGTGTTTCAGGGTTGCAGGGTTTTATAGCTGCAGGGTTTCATAGCTGCAGGGTTTTAGCTGCCATGTCTGCTACTATTTACACACTGATGCTACTGTAGCTCTGAAAACCTCACCTTTATGTAACAACCTCCCACCTGCATCATGTTGCAGATAAAGAGCCGGCAGTGTGAAACAGCCCCGTGTCTGCAAAAAGAATAACACACACATTTCTAGAAGTAGAGTTTTGATCCTGGGTAGAATTTTACCTTTGAGAAATATGTTTTCTGGTTAAAGATGCTCTCCATGCATGAGTTTTTCATTTGCTGTGTTTTTGAATACTAAATCTACTTAAGTAAGAAAAGCAAAATCTTTATCAGTCTTATAAAACATGTGGTCTGTTTTATAAACCCATTGTGGTCAAAAGCTTGTTGACAATATCTTATGAAATTTCCTAAAGGCTCTCCATAATTTTCTTCAAATATTTTGAGTCTTTACTTGCAGATACAAGTTCAGACCAACTCATTTTCTGCTTTTTGGATCAGAATGTGACCAAATCTATTGTTGAAGGAACTCAAGGTTTAATCCTCGCTCTTATGCAATCATAATTTCATTTAAATCAGAGTTTTAAATAGTATGTGAAATATGTGTATTCACTATATCATGTGATTTATCTTGACATGAATCTATGATCATGGGAACAGGTTCATTTATCTCCTCTGGTTGGACTTCTTGGTGTCTCATTTCCTTCATGATGCTTCAAATTTAAATTTAAAGAAACGTTTTGCTTTGATTTTATTTACCATAAAACAATCAAGTTCAATGCTGCGTCCGTATCCAGACGTCATGACTCAGCAGAGACAGATCCTGTACTGACCGTGATGCTGCGGTGGTGCAGCGGTGGAGCACAACTCACATCAAGAGACCTTAGTCCTGCCGCAGGTTCGATTCCTGGCCTGATGAACCTCAGCCATCTCACTACTCTCAAACTTTATTAGTTTAGTTCTTCATTTGAAGTCAACTAAATGGTTTTGATAAGACCAACTTCAACTTGATAAGTTAAACCAACTTAATAAATTAAGTTGGATGAACTTAATTGAATTATTTGTCACCAATTTAATTGATTCAATTAAGTTGGTTAAACTATTTTCTTTTTTCAGTGCACATTCATACCACTGATTGGTAGGGACCTTGGAGTCAGGTCATGTGTGTGTGTGTGTGTGTGTGTGTGTGTGTGTGTGTGTGTGTGTGGGTGTGTGTGGGGGTGTGTGTGTGTGTGTGTGTGTGTGTGTGTGTGTGTGTGTGTGTGTGTGTGTGGGTACGTGTGTGTGCGTGTGTGGGTGTGTGCGTGCGTGCGTGCGTGTGTGTGTGTGTGTGTGTGGGTACGTGTGTGTGTGTGTGTGTGTGTGTGTGTGTGTGAGGAAATTGTTATAGAACCAACATCTTGTTTGGAGGACAGATATTGAGCCAATCACTCCACTATCATATTCTCCTTTCCATCAGTAGTATTCCTTCACATATCTGCAGATGAACCAGGGCTAATAATCCACGCAGTCACACACACACTAACTTTCACGTTGTTTCACTAACAGCCTACAAACTGACTGGCTATTTGATCCAGATGTTTGTTTCTCCAAAGTGTCAAATGAGTCTCCATTCAATCTGTGATACAACTGTGGTGATACTGGGCTCATCTTTATGTGGAAAGTATAATATTTTATTTATTGACACACACACACACACACACACACACACACACACACACACACACACACACACACACAGAGAGAGAGAGAGACAGTGCTGGCTGATAAGGGTTTTTCACAGTTTGCCTGTAGCTTTCTTACTTCTAAGTAGAGTTTGTCCCCTGAAGTGTCTTCATCCTGTCCACAGGAGTGTCCGTCCACCCACGATCTACTGAACTCACTGCGGCAGGTGGAGAAGATGTTAGCACTACATGAGACATCGTACCAGCAAGGCCTGCGTTCCCTCAGGAAGAAGATAAACACCCTGCACAACAGCACCATGGCCTTCTTTAAAATGGGTAAAAATGCAAAAAGCCACAGGAAAACAGGGAGACGTGGTCTCTCTTCTCATGGGTTCATACACTCTTTGCCACAAAACACGGAAACAATGACAAATAAAACGACCAATTCCCTCCAACAGTTTGTTGGTGACTCCAGTCACTTCGAAACTCGAAATTAGCTTTTATATTATCTGTTTTTTATTTTTTTTTACCCTGGTCTAAATGAAGTATTTGATCTTCCTGTTTTTTTTTTTTTATTTTCTTCTTGGTTTTGGCCTCTTGTTTAAATAAGACACATCTTCCCCAGGCAGTAAACCCTGTTAGCTTAGGAGTCCAAATATGCGTTCCTTGTCTGTTCACAAGCTACATCTGTGCCAAAGAGCAGTGAAATGTTACATTTTTATAATGAATTAAAGTTCATGTAAATACCAGACTGTATGAATCGAAACGACCAAAGCGATGCAGAAACTAAACAGAAGGTTCTGAAACTTAAATTTAAGCTAAACCCTCCCGACTTGTTTCCAGCGTCCTGCCCTAAGCCTGACCCCCCGGCCAACGGACGCAGACTGGGCAGAGTGTTTGCTATGGGACATGAGGTCCACTTCCTCTGTAAGCCCGGCTATGAGCTGATAGGCCCACGAACCCGCGTGTGTCTGGAGTCTCTGAAGTGGAGTGGACAACAGCCCATGTGCAGAAGTGAGTCACACACATAAAATGAAATAAGTCGAGTCGGATGGAGGATCGGTAGTTTTTCATTTCTTTGTTCTCATGATCTCTCTTTAGGACTAAACAGCACTGCCAACTCCTTGGCTTCCTTCTCTTCAGCTGCGTCCTCCTTCGCTGCCTTATCTGCCTCCTCCACAGCAGCCTCGTCTTCTTCGGCTTCATCCCCAACACCGTCCTCGCCCTCCTCCTCTGTCAGGCCTTCTAACTGCACACATTTCCTGGGCTCGACTCACTGCACGTGTGATGTTGGTTTCACCATATCAGGCCGAGACAACAACATCTGCACAGGTGCAGCTGCTCCTCAGAAAGTTTCCTTCTCAAAAAAATAAAATAAAACAATCTTCAATATCAGTCAGACTATGTAATCCACAACAGGCTTGTGTGTGTTTCAGATATCGACGAGTGTCATCTCTTCCCCCTGGCGCAACCTGGCCGCCTCTGCATCCATCAGTGTGTGAACACACCCGGAAGCTTCCATTGCGTTTGCCCGCCCGGCTACAGCCTGTCCAGAGACGGTCGCAGCTGCACAGGTCAGCAGCTGAGTCACAACGGCCAAACTGGCAGCATCAGTATTCAGCTGTTCAGCTCTGCAGGGTTCCTGGTAACAGGACACTCTGTTTGATTTTGGTGTGTCAGACGGATTCAAAACTCTCAAGGAACTGGGACTGGGCATCCCTGACTTTAGCTGTTAGATCACGTCTGACACAAGCAGAGCAGACTGAATGGGTATCAGGCCAGGGAACCAATGTTTTTATTCATGCTTGTCTCACTTCTGGCATTTCGCTTTTAGACATTGACGAGTGTGAAAACCTTTCACACAACTGCACAGCAGACCGGCTGTGTGTGAACACGTTTGGTGGTTTCCAGTGCGTGGCAGTGAAGTGCCCCAAGACAAAAAACGCCACATACATCAAGACGTCTCCCATGTAAGGACAAACTTCACCTACATTCACCTACGCTACACAAAATTCCCAACTCTGTGCTTAGTTCATGTTATTTGCAGCCAGGAGCAGAGGAACTAAAAAGCTTAATATTCAGGAGTCATCTAAAGTTGGTAGTCATCAAAATGGTTGGTAATAAGGAAAACATCAAATGTACAAATTTGCAAAACATATGCAAGTTATGGACGAATTCTAGTATTTTTATAGAATAAAATTTAAAAAAAAATTCAAAATACCAAATTCAGGCAGAAGAAGAAGAAATATAGATGTCCAAATACAAGGCTTTTAAAACTGATACTTACAAAAGTTAATGAACATAAACAGCTCTGGATAAAATGAAGAGTCCACTGCACTGAACCTCATTAAAACCCTTCTGGTTATTCCACCAAATATTGATCTCTGAACTCTTCCTGAGTTAAAACTTTAATATTGTTGTTTCTCAATAAATATGAACTTGTTTTCTTTGCATTATTTGAGGTCTGGAAGCGCTGCATCTTTTTTATTATTTTGACCATTTCTCATTTTCTGCAAATTAATACTCCATTTTTGCTTGGAATTTCAGAAACATGTAATTCACAGAATAAAGGAACAATATTCATGTTACTGCACAGTGGTGCAGTTGGTAGCACTGTTGCCTTGCAGTGGGTTCAATTCCTTTCTGCACAGAGTTTGCATGTTCTCCATGTGGTTTCTCTCTGGGAACTCCGGCTTCCTCCCACGGTCTAAAAACATGACTGTCAGGTTAATTGGTCTCTCTAAATTCTCCCTCGATGTGAGTGTGTGTGTGTGTGTGTGTGTGTGTGTGTGTGTGTGTGTGTGTGTGTGTGTGTGTGTGTGTGTGTGTGTGTGTGTGTGTGTGCGTGCGTGCGTGCGTGCGTGTGTGTGTGTGCATGGTTGTTTGTCTCTGTGTGTTGCCCTGCGACAGACTGGCGACCTGTCCAGGGTGACCCCGCCTCTCGCCCGGAACGCAGCTGGAGATAGACACCAGCACCTCCCGACCCCATTAGAAAATGGATGGATATTCATTTTACTCAAACATATACCTATAAAAAGTAAAATGAGAGAAACTGATCATTTTCAGAAGTCTCAATTTTTTGTATGTTAAAGCTGTAATGTTAAAACAATGCAATCTGCTTCATTGGCAGTAAATACACCACCTGGCCAAAATGAAAGCTCAACTCCTTAATGACTGAAAGCATTTGCTCTGGCAGTGTTTTGATAAGCCACTGGATTTATATCCATATAATGTTGCATTCTTTTCACCGAGCTTTTACATTGATGATCGTCAATGATCTTATATCACCAACCACTACTCAAAGCCTTCTCGAGATTGTTCATTGGGTTCAATGGTGACCAATCTATGAATTAATATCATGCCACTTGTTTCTTTGAACCACTGATTGAGTCAAATGAGTCCTGGCATCGTTGTCTGGCAATATGCCTGTCTGCCGTCAGAGAGGAAGGAAGCAGTCTATTGAGGGATTAACCTGGTACATTCAGGTCCAGGTAATGAGCTGATTTCATTATTTTGGCGCAGAATCTTGCTGACCTAAGACCTAACCATCTGCAGCAACCCCAGACCACAGCACTGCCTCCACGGGTTTGTACAGTGAGCACTAGATATGATGGGTAATCACTTCTTCCTCCCTGGAACACGTCTCCCCATTGCTCCAGAGTTCAGTCTGTGTGTGTACTCACAAAAGACTGGACAATAATTCTGCTGTCACTCTAAATGGAAACCATTTTCTCTGGTTACCCTCACTATTTAGTGGTTACCTATGGCAACACCACCTTTCGGTCCGAATTCCTTGAGGTGTAACTTTCACAATTAAACATAGTCCTGAATTCTACTTGTTTTTTTTTTTCTGATTTGATTTCACTGAACTTTTCATAATGATCTCACATCAGGATTTAGTTTCTGTGATACTGACAACTCTTTTTTTCCTTTCATCCCATGGTTCCCCGCTTCCCTTCTGGTTTTAAATACAGCGCCGCTGACCATTCCTAACACAATTTTAGTGGTTTCTGTAAATTCCTGCTTGACAAATGCCAGTGATCTGACATTTCATGAGAAGACCGATGACTTTCAACATGGCTGAAACAGAAGCTACTCATTGCATCAGCTGATGTTAAAAGATTTGCTGCTGCAGTATTAATCCCCATTAAAGGCTCGTGTCTATTCACTAGTTAAATCCAGGTGGTAACCTTTAGGACGGCAATTGTAATATGTTATATGTTTTTTGGGGGGGAAATGCCTCAAAAACAATAATTTAACAAAAGTGATTTTTGAATTTAAGTCATTTTTTCATTTAACTCTGCTTGAGATCTGAATATTTTGGGGTCTACCTGCAAGTGAAAGTTAACACAAAATCCTCTCCGTACTTTTTGAGGCAAGTAGACGTAAATGTTGATTTGTGTAAAGCCAACGTTAGCACAGTTTCGCAACCTTCATGATTCAACAAAGTTGACTTACGTTAAATCTTCATCTTTTAATACATTTTCCGAGCTCTGCCTGCAGGAGTCAGCTGTGCCCAGGAACCTGTCGGACCGTAAATCCTGTCAACCATCATAAACAAAACAATGCCTGGCTTCTAATGAGAAGCTAACAAACTAATTGCCTTGAGATAAACAAGAAAAAAATAACTTGGCAAACACAATGACACGGTCATCAGCAGGAAAGGAATGAAAATGAGGGATTCGAAAGAGACAAAGAGAACCACAAGTCTCTTACCTCTGGGAACTGTCACTCTGAAAACAATGAGCTCAACCTGCATGTCAACCACTTCCCCTCTGCACCCAGCACTTAGCTGCTCTGCAAGCCACTCTGGGCTGAGACTGAGGTTTGGCCAAACATGAGCTGCAGACTCAGGCTTCAGCCAACTTGATTGGTCAAAGGCATCAAACTATCTTTGACACCGGAGATGTTTACTACTTTCAAAATTCCAATTTATTCCTCCTGCCAAATCATGACTGTGGTAAGAACAGTGTTGTGGTGCAACCACCAGAGACAGCTTCTGAAAATAACAGGTCAGTGGGGGATTTTTCTGGACAAACACATAAAAGCCCATCATAATCGAGCTGCACAAGCATGACGAGGCAGCAATACCCTAAATACAACTTAGCTGTTAGAGCAAAGTCATATATTAAGGCTTCCAACCCTCACTTAAATCCCTTCTTATCTAGAACAGTAGCTGAAGCTGGATGAATGCAGCTGCTGCATTCCAAGCACTATTATTCATTATTGGTCCTTTCTGCAAAAATGGTTTCAATAGCATTTCAATTTGTAAAATAAATCATGACCTGCTCTACAAAGAAAATAATGTCTACCATTAGAAACTGATGGGCGAGATTGTTTCTCTTGTGATTGGACTGCTTAACTGATTGTTGCTTCAGCAGAAACAATGAGTTCAGGTGAGTCTTTAGTTCCGGGAATGTTTGGTTTTCTCTGAAGGCACATAATCGACCCTCCAACATAACCTGCCGCTGCTGTATCTGGTGACCGGAGCGCCGGGCATGTTTGGAAATTTTTTTGAAAGAAGAGCAAGTAAGACAGGTTCAGATTGATCAAACCCACAGTCTGGTTTCTCTACTGCTTCGACTCCCCCTGACAGGAGAGGGACACATCTGGCTTTACCAGTGTGCCATTTCCTTTAGAGAGTCAGTAGTACTATGAGCCACACTGTATCATTTTATAACACAATTAAGTATCTTCACCTTCAGTTGTTATAAATGCTGTATAATTTTAAAGAAAATTGAAATTGGGTCTTTGTCTCTAAGGAAATCCTGCTCTTTCCAACATTTTTGATCAGCGTGTGCTCTGAGAAGAAGCTCCTATGATGAGCTCTGCTGATGCAAAGTTCGACCAGGTGTTTGCTAATTGCTGCTGGCTAGTCTGAAGAAGCTACAGCTCAGAGGAGCAGCAAAAACTCAGTTACCCATAGTGCTTTTCAAAACTGAATGGTTCCCATGGGAGATTATGCATTTTTCAGTAATGCATGAAAGAATCAAGGGAAAGAACAGTATGTTTTTGATGAAGGAATAACATTAGAACACGATGTAATGCTTTAAAATGCCTTTTGCGATATTCATACTTTGTTTTGCAGCGTATCCACACACTTTGCTAAAAACCCAATCTCATTCTCATCTGACCAAAGCATGGTCCTAGTCAAAGTAACTTCTCCATGAAACGTATTTTTTGTTTACTGAACAACATGTGCAAAGAGAATCTGAAGCTAAATCTGCTTGCTGTCACGTCTTTAAAATGTTGCGAGATGAAGGAAAGCCCAGCTGAATGAATTTAACAAACACGCTTCAACTGAGAATGACTGTGTTTCTCCAGGCGCTGTGAGAGGAATCCGTGCATGTCGGGGGACAAAGCGTGCGCTCAAGCTCCAAACTCCATCTCCTTCCACTTTCTGGCTGTGGTGTCCAACATGTCTGCCCCTCGCGTCCTCTTCCGGGTGTCTGCAGCCCGGGTGCTGGGAGACACGCTGCGGTTCGGCCTGGCTGGCGGCCGTGGTCGCGGTCACTTCAGCGTGCAGCGCTCGGGTCGGCAGACCGGGACTCTTCTCCTGGTCACGTCCGTTAACGGGCCGGCCACGCTGGAGGCCGAGGTGGAGATGAGTGAGCTGGAGAACAACACCCTGCTGGGCCGCTACCTCACCAAGGTCACCCTGTTTGTGTCCCCGTACATGTTCTAGCGGGGAGGACGAGCAAGAGTTTAGTGTGATACTGAGACCTGAATTTTCAGAGACATCATCTTTTGTTTGTTTGTCAATGAAGCAGTTAGAAAAGTTGTAGCGTTTGCTCCTCTGGTGACCTCTCAGCACTTTTTTTTACTTGTTATTATTATCTGTGTTTGTTGACTCAGCATGACCACTTAGCTATGAACATGAGTAATGTATAGTCGTTCATTCTACAAATAGACTTAGTGAACCTTTTCTACAGCTTTAAACACGCTCTCATTTAAAGAGGGACAATATTTGTTTCTTTCTTCGCACAGACTAATATTGCTCCAGATGTTTCCAGGTAAATCCTGGTGAAAATGTTTGGAACAGTCTCAATTGTTCTGAAGGATCTTCCTTGGTCTAACCCACCATAATAAAATAAATGGGTCATTAATGTGGCCTCTGCAAAACGTAATGGGCTGGTGAGGAAGTAACTCAGCTACACCGTTTGGATCAGCTGTATCAGTGCAGGACCGATGCAAAGACATTCAGTTTTCACCAAGCCTTAAGAAGTGGTTTCAGAAGCCATTAGGTTAAAAACATGCAACTTCATCAGCTCACACATCAACTACCACAAAGTGGTTATTTTATTAGGTCACTTAAGCTACAATTAATAATTAACTCAAGGCTTATTTATGAAGTTTTGTGTTGGTTTCTTTTGAAAATGGTTCTGAAATCTAACATGAATAGAAACGACTGAAACAGAATGCAAGGCTGCGGACTCCCTTCCTCTGGTTCCGCCTGCAGCTCCTCAACAAACTAAGACAAAATAGAAAGAGACCAAGTGTGCAGTAAGAGTAATTCATATTTCAAATGACAAAAAAAACTGCCTGATGGATAATATGAGCTAACATTCAGCAAAACCCAGTAAGCATTTAGAAATGTGCATGTTCTTGTGAAGTGCTGATGTATTGAAAGCTTGTTCAATTCAAGTTGGTCCTCCAAACAGAATCTATATATAAATATATATAAATCATCCTGGTCAAAGGAAAGATTCTGTTCCTACTAGTGTGAATTTATTTTCTTTCATTTTATGTGACTTTGTAACATTGTGGATTTGTGTTTTTGTGTTCATTGGCCTGTAACTGATGCAGCATATAAAGGAAGACAGTAACCATGTTTATGCTCCTTCTCTACTTATAGAGGTTTATCTTCCGACATGGTCACAGTTTCCCAGTTGAAATATAAAGTGGACAAAAAAAAGTAAATAAAAGACTCTTTTCAAACGTTATCTTGTTTTTTTTTTTTTATGGCTCCTGCTTTCCAGCACTCCATGATGACAGGAAAGTCAGCACAACTTTTACACTTGGAATCAATTCACATTCACCAACGCCATGTACTTTTTTTAAAATTCCTTTTACAAGCACAAAAAAAAAAAAGCAGAGGTGGTCCTAGCCTGTTTGGCGCTCTAGGCAAATTCCCCCCGCCAAAAAAATTATTTTAGCAAGGAGGTCATAGTGTTACTGAATGTGTTCACCATCCAGTGAAAATTCCTCCAGTGAAGGTTTTCATAACTGACAGATTGTCAGTAAACCAAGATTGAAAAGATAGACACTCTGCCTGTGGAACGTTTCAGTGATGCTGGCTGCATTTATAAGAGCAGGAAGGAATAAATGAAGGTTTATTTCAGCCTCATGCTGAAACTTTTACTGAAATTATGACCTAAAGTGTTTGTTGTCTTTTTGTACATGTATGCATGTTTGCTGGCTCTGAGGGCAGAATAAACATGTTCTCATGTGACGTCCATCATCTCCAGGATTTATTGCTTGTCCCATTTTGAGAAGCAGCTGCTGATCTTTTAACAGGTGAAGTAAAGGGTTAAGAGATAGCTTTGTATGTTTGTGCTGTGAAAACGGGGATGTTTTGGCATGTTGGGCAGAAGAATTTTACACTGATTTGTCAGGCAGCCAGGGAGCCTCCACTGACCAGACAGAACACACACATGAAAACACACAACTCAGATGAACAACCCACAGTGGACCTGACCATTAGTCTGAGAGCCAGCAGAGAACAGCAGAACTATATCAGCTACACGTACACAGGCTCAGAAGAATTCATTTAAGATCTGGATTTTATTTCTGCCATCATTTGTTGGGGCAGCAGGATCAGAGCCAGAGACAGAAAACGCTCAACAGCCTGATAAACCCGAGTGCTGCTTCTGTTTGAGGCACGACCTCTGGATATTACAGAGCCAAGAATAAAATAAAATACAATACAAAAAAATAAAAGAAAGAAAGAAAATGTGCCATCATAAAATACAGTCCTCAGTTGGACACTAGAGCTGCTGTAACACAGTCCTCTACAGGAGATCCTTTCTGCCAGCAGCCATCAGAATATACAGCTCTGGGAAAAATTACGAGTTCGCTACAAAATGATCAGTTTCTGATCTGAATTTTTTGAGGTTTATGTTTGAGTAAAATGAACATTGTTCTTTTACTTTATGAAGTTCTGACATGTCTCTGAAATTCCAAGCAAACATTTTGTGTTTATTTGCAGAAAATGAGAAATGGTCAGAAATAAAGATGCAGTGCTTCCAGTTCATATTCATTTAGAAACAACAATACTAATGTTCTAACTCAGGAAGAGGTAAGAAATCAATATTTGGTGGAGTAACCATGATGAGGTTTATTATCATGGGATTCAGAGCAGTGCTCTTTATTTTTTCCAGAGCTGAATATATATATTTTATTTTGGGTTTTAACAATTTAGTTTCCATTTGTAATTTCCCTTCCGAATTGACTTAGTAGCTTATGACTTGAAGTATTTGTGTTCATTTTTTATAATTTGGAGAGAAGTTGTCTGTCTATTCTTAATTTTGTGCAGAGCTTTGGGAACATCAGTGTGTGAATCTGCATGATTCCCTCACCAGCAGGTAGCACAAATACATCTACATTTTAATTAAACTAGGAACATTTTCTTTTGTTGCAATCAGTATTTATATCAGATCCACATGGTGGTGTGAAACGCAAATATATACAGCAAATATTACAGCGACTGCAAAGATGGTTCTGAGAAAACACCTGGACAACAGAATAGAAACCTTGCACACTTTATTATTAATAAGAAACTGTCCATAGTTTTCTGTACAGAGCAACAAAAGGAGACAAAAACAGTGAAAAACGAATCCAGACAGAAACCATGTATTCAATCATAAACATAAAAGACGTTCCATCACCTCTCTGAATCGTAAAACAGACGACCAAACCGCCTGCAGAGCTCGAAACACCAGGCAATAATTAACACATGATGTGGACAAGGTCCATCTCTGACCAACCCTGTCATTTGATGGGAGATGCAGGGACGTTTAGGCACAACTTTGATTTAAAAAAACATAAGAAAAGAAAAGACTGAAAAAAGGCAGTTGAGAGAAGAAAGTTTGGAGTTGCAGACAGCGAGGGCAGCGCTCGCTGCAGAATGCTTTGAGGATCGGCTAGATGGAAAAAAAGTAACAGTGCAAGTCAACTGCACGACACGCACAGCATACGACACAGACAGTCATCTACCTGTTCTCTCTCTCACACACACACACTCACACTCGTGTGCACGCATTTTATCCAGCAGACGTTTGTCCCCCAAACTCCAAAACTCAATTAATCGAGCTTTCAGCAGCTGAAAGCCTCCATGGATGCTTTTATTAATACACAAAAAAGGCAAATCATTATCTGAAGATACAGCTTTAAATTTCTGATTTATGAAATGTTACATGAAAATGTCATTTAATCAAGCCTCCTCATCAGTCAAGCTGCTGGATGAAGATGATGCCTGGAGGAACTCAGACTTGTCTCTCTCCTTTCTCCTTTCTAAAAGCATTGTTGAAAAAGAGAAGAAAAAAGAAAAAAGGCAACCGTAAAGAACATTCAAATTAATGAAAGAAAAAAAATACACAGATTAAACAATAAATAAAGCTATAACAAAACATTTTTACTCACTGATATTAAAAAAAAGAAAGAAAACTGTGCAACGATTCCAGTATCATCTTCACACAAAATCTTCACATCTTTGTAATAATCTGATCTGTTCTTATAAATTTTTCCCAAATTGTTTCTTCTAGAGGACAAAAAAAAAGAAGGAAAAAGGCCTCAACCTGTCTGGACTGACTCCTCTGATACCAACTGAGCCAGTTAGTGTGAGAATGAGAACTGAAGTGATTTCTGCTGCTCTGCTCAGAGACGGAATGCTAACAGTGGCTGGAAGCAGCAGGAAGCAGGAAGCTGCGACGGAGGAACCAGTTCACTGCTGGAACACAAAATATTTATATTTGAATATGACTAAGTGTTCGCTCCCCTTTTAATCCTGCGTGGCTTGGTTGACAGATGGCTGGTAGGTTCCAACTACCTGGCAGTCCCATGGCAAAGACGGAGAAAAATATAGTAAAATAAAATATCCCCAAAAACCATTCGACAACCAAGAAAAGAACTGGGACAAAAAAAAAGGACAGCACAGGACAGGACTGGACAGCGTACACTCACACCAAGAGACACAGCTTCATTGTTAAAATCTCTATAGTCAAGCCTTATCCCATCCCACTTTCTACACATTTACACTTGAAATGTTTTTGTTCTCCACCAGTCAGTTCTGAGAGCTCATCCTTCCTCTCTCCTGCTCCGCCACGTCCTCGCCCCCCGACCAAGACCGGACCAGACCGGACCTCCCTCCAGATGAGCAGGAGAGGAGACGAATACTGCATCAACATCAGGGAGGCGGATGGAGACCAAGAGGAGGCGCCACACGTCCAACCAAAGATCTTGACGGGAACAAGAATGAGGGAGAGGAGAGACTGGCCTCATGAGGCGAGGAAAGTCACACCCACGTTCACCAGTGGGGGTATTGGAGTGATGTCATTTCCCCAGCAGTGATTTAAAAAAAAAAAACCCTGATGAAGAGGACAAATCAGGTTGGACGTTGCAGTTGTTTTTTTTCTTTTGTTTTGTCTTTTTAGATTGATAGGTAAAAATGGGCGTGTGTGGAGAGGATTCCTCAGAGGCGGCGGTGGGTTCTCCTGTGAACTCTTCCTGACCCCCCCGGGGTGGGCGGGGCTTACCTGTCCTTCAGCTCCTGAGTCACTCGTTTTGTAAATCTGCCACAAAACATCCCAACCAGGAAGAGGAGGGCCACCCCCGCACCAATCACAGTGAGGATGTAGTTCTTGGACGGTGATGTCATCACCTGCATGGCCAGGTCTGAGAATCCCTCAGCTGGCGCCACCTGGAGGAGAAACCAGGAGGAAAAAATAAATAAATAAAAACAAGACAAAAAACTGAAACTGGTTAAGAACCGGAGACGCGACTTTCTGCAATATTTCACCAGGACTGGAAAGAAAATAAAAGAAACAAGACAAACAGTCGATAATCAATAACCTTCCTAGAAATTAACAAAAAATAATCAGCTACCAAATCAAACATAGGAACATTTTTAAATGAAATAATTTATAAAATCACTCATTTTAGCTGGAGCTTAAAAGTTCATATTTCTAAAAAAAAAAAAAAAAAAAAAAGGTATTTCCACACAGTCAGTCTTATATATTTCTGAGTTCACTTCTCTTTTGTCAAGACATTTTTATTCAAACCTCCGCCTGAATATTTTTGCTTGTTTTAATTGTACGCAGTTTTTAAAATTTCCTGACTGAATACATATTACCCATTTATCCATAACAAGGACTTTCAATATCTAGCAGTTATGTACGCAATTTACCATCTGTTAAGAGTGTCCCTCAGATTATTTTCACAAAATTACCGTAAAAACCCAATATTTGGTGAAAGCTCAATGTTTCCCCTTTCAGAAACTGTTGGAATTTTTCAGTGGATTTACCGTACTGCGAATTTGGCTGTGTCGTCGCCGATACGTTTGGCCTGGGAGGGTTAAACTGCGACACACTGACAGCTGGAAGGTTCGGACACTCAAAGTTCATAAAACTCTGACTTTGGTTAAGAACGCAGCAGTTTAAAAACAAAGCTTGCATGTGAAATGAAATTTGAGGGTCAATCCCCCTGAACAGAACTAAGAAACACACGGCTGTGCAGAGCTTGTGTGAAAGCTCTAAATTCACTGCCAGGTGTGAGAAGTCGGTCGTAGCTTCACACCGGAACCAAAACTTCAACCTGCGGGGCTGGAGCACCTGGGGTCAGAGGTCAGCTGTACCTTAGCAGCGTAGCTCCACATGTCGATGCGATCCTGGAGTCTCTTCTTGCACTCTGGCTGCAGACGGACACGTTTGTCCTGCAGCGCCTCC